AACACAACGTTTCGGCCGTGGAGCCTTCTGAAGACTTCTGAAGAAGGCTCCACGGCCAAAACTTTGTGTTTTCTTTCTTCTCTTTTCAGCATGGAATAAACCTATTACTTGTTCTTTTGGAGGTTTATTGAGGACAAACAGAACTGTTTGCTTATTTTCTTGGCAACAGAACATAAAGCAGAGTATTTCTGCCACCAAGGATGGACAGCAGAAAACAGTTTACAAAGGTCAAAGCAGAGTAAAAAATTCAATCAAAAAGCTTAATAAGACTTAACAAGGCTTAGATGGAGTGAATATCACAACAAAGGACTAAGGCACGCTCTCTAGGAGCAAGGAAGAGAAGGGAACAGGCAATCAAAGAACAGCTAGTGAAAATAAATAGTAGTAGCCAAAACTTCATGGAAAGCGGCCCATAAAAAGTCAAACAATATCCAGGAGGTTTGAAGCAGGTTGGAACAAGTTCTTTCGCAAAACATTTGGATGTGGGGTGGGGGAAACAGAACAGAGCAGATATGTTTGCATTCATACAGTATCTATCATTGTGAGCCATTATTTGCAGAGGTTAAATTGGGGGTACCATCTTCATAAAAGCTACCCTGGTATGAGAAGGCTTATATTCCTAAGGTCCTTAAATCCTAGAACATTTTGTAGATCTACTGATCTCTTTTCTGCAATAATGAGTGGCAGTTTAATTCTTATATGTAGACTTATACTGTATATTGTATATTTTTATTACACTGCGGTTTGAGATCGCAGTGGGTCAGAGTGACCCAGTTAAAAGGGCATAAATGCAGTCTTGACAGATTTAGTTACTGGGTAAAGTGAACTTAAGAACTCCTTGGCAATGGTTATCTTCCCTTCATGCATACCATCATTAGCCTTCCAAAAACAACAGCATGCAGGGAAAATTAAAATGGCTTATCTTGTTTTCTTTTCTGATTATTTTTAGGTCTAGACTTTTGTTCTTTAGGGAAGTGGTCTGAATCATAGAATAAAGGTTGTTATCATGCAGGTCTTGTTAAACCCCCGAGACACAGAAAGACTTCAGTGATGGCAAATCTCTCAGCTAGTGCCCTTCACGAGTAACTGAACTTCTAAAGAGAAAAAAAAATCCAAGAAAAACAACCTTCTTCTCCCTGACTCGGATTTCCGGCATCCGCAGGAGCTAACAGCCAGCCGGCCACAGAGCCTCGTCTTTTTTCAGTATAAGATTATCCGTGATCATGAATAAGTCATTCGCTTTTGTAGGATAAAAAACAAGCCTTGGAAGTCTAGTGGATTCTGGCTTAACAATTTTCACCGTTTTTTTTTAAAAGCCTTCACATGAAAAGAAAAAAAAATCAAAGGAAATGAAGGGAAAAAAAAAATAGGCTTCCACTCGGCTGGCTTTTGCATTAAAATGGCAGCAGAATGATTTATTCTTTCGGGTGAATCGGTTGGCACAGCAGCTCCCCGGCCCTGCACGCCTGCAAAATAAACGTTTGGAACTGTGGATAAGGAGAAGTCAGGCTGCAGGCCGCAGTTGTTCAGTGAGTGGCCAACAATACAGAGAATAGTTTCTGGTGCATTGTTTTGCCTTTTTTAGTGACTTACTGTTTGGGAAAGAATATGAAGTGCAGCGATAAAGCCCAGACATGCTGCCTGGGCATGATTTCATACGTGTGCGATATGACTCTAATGCTTACCAAGTTGCTTCAGGGACCCGGTCTGTGAATTACTGTACTTGGATTTTGCTTTTAACTTCTAGTGTGTGATTTCGTTTTCTCATTTTACCACCCTGCCTCTCCTCCACCCATTTTCAGAATTTTCCAAGGCTGTGGTTTATCCAAAAACAAGCTTGTGAGAGCATTAAAATAAGATGATTTCATATAGAGACATCAGTCACAACAAGACCTAAAGAAGGGCAACAAACTGGTATTTTCAGCAATTCCTGTTGGTGTGTGTAATCTATAAAGAGGTCAGGGGCAAGCATCATTTACGGGTTCATTTGACAGCTGAAGCCACGTTCTGTGTTTCCACTGAGGCAGAATCCTCTCTGTTTCATGCAGGACATTCTTGACTATTTGCAGTACAAACAGCAATTAGTTTACCCTTATTTAAATTTGTGTTTAAGACCAGATTGGGAGATACAGTGGAAAGTAGTGTTAAACCTTGCCTAACATCTATATTCCTTAAGTGATTGCCAAGTATCTAAAGCCATCAGTAGAATGCTTATCTTGGTAAGGGTTATTCAAGCCAGTCTATCTCTCCAGAAGGATAAGGTACAAAGTACAATTGCTCTTTCTTAGGATAGGATAACAGTCATATCATCATCCATTTTTTAACTGCTTTACCCAATTCAGATTTGCAGTGGGGAGCCATAGCCTATCCCAGCAAGAAATGGGGTACACCCTGGACAGGACACACACACACACTTTCACCAGGGCCAGTGAACATATCAATACATCTTTGGACTGTCGGAGGAAACTGGAACACCCGGAGGAAACCAACATGAACATACAAACTCAATGTAGAGAGCACCCTACTTCCAGAATTGAACCCAGGGCCTCAGCCCTGTTAACCAGTGTGCCACCATGTCATCCCCAGTCATATTAAATTGAAGAAATTGTTTTCCCATCTTGTCCAATGCCAATTTGACCGTGTTTATAGAACAGGACAAAAAAAAAAATTTCTCATAAAGGAAACAAAATCTCCTTTATGAGAACTTCGGTTCGATTTTGAGGACTTGTATGATGGCCAGCAATTGAGTGTTCAGCTATCTGAACTCTGAATGCTTCTTGCCTCCGATGGCAGAGAAAGAGTTCCACACATCCCTTGTATAATGAGGTGCAGTACACAGAAACTTTCTGTTTCTGTTCAGAGCAATAAGTCGGTTCCGATATAGTAACACTTCAGACTTTTTTTCCAGGCTCTTACCTGAATAAGCCCCTTAGCCTGCCTTTCAAATAATTGTATCACCAGCCTTCCAGCTATTTCAGAAAAAAATAGAACAGTGGGTTTATGATTGATAATGGGGGCGTATGCTTTTACACTCCAGTATTCAATAACATTTGGCTAATATTTTACCAAGAAGCCTGCAAGTAACCCTTATACATAAATGACGTAAATCGGTTGATTTGGCCAAACAATCACCCTGCAAGTCTAGGTCTATACACACGCTCCACTGTCTTCTCACCACACAAGAACTTCATACTACACCCATAACACACACACACACACTACCCTACATTTAACACTACTGATTGCTGTGAGTGGTCATTCAAGCTGGAATGTGGTCTGTGCACTTGCAGACAGTTTCCCTTCACTACGTACTTTTCATTTCCTTTTGAATTCCTGGGTTCACATACCAAAGCAATGTAGCGTTGAGACAAAGGAACACGTTTTGTTTTTTCAAAAATATGGGGTTTATTGGTTTAAACTGCAATCAGTCGTTACAAAACACGCAATTTCATATAAACTCACATATAGAAAAAACTGTAGTGATCAGCAAAAGCTGTAAAATACATTCAACAGTTTACTTTCTTTGTGTCAGTTCTGTTAACCCTTTCTATTTTGACTAGGAAAAACAGAACAAAGAATTTATTTTTTTTCTATTCTTTTTTTTATATAAAAATAAAAGGCGGAATGCACTGGCTACCTGGAATGTATCCAAAAAGAGGCACTTACTTAACCATTGCAAACAAGGGATCACAAAAAAATCTACCTGTTTCAAGTCACAGCTGGTAGTTAGTGCCTTGCTTTCAAAGCAGGTTTCAGCTGCCTTTGTCAAAGAAAACTATGAACTCTGTGACTTAAAAAAGGCCCAGAACCCACACACTTAACTAACTCTAGGCTTGCACATCAATTCTCTATCAAGTGCAGCCAAAAAACACTTACAATAGGAATTCTTCACCTAATGCTCCAAAAATCCTTTATCTACACAAGCTCCCCCTGCAATTTCACCTTGTTTACTGCTGTTTTCTGCTGAAGGCAACTAGTGAAAGTGTTAAAAAAGGCTAAATAAAAAAAAACACTTCAACAGGTAGGTTTTTTTTTCTTCAGTAAATATTTGCAGGCAAGCCAACTAGTTTCTCTCTGTGGTTTCGAGACTTTTTTTCTCCTGGATCAATAGAATCCCTTTTATTAAAGTTATAGCTGCTTCAGCATGCGTGTTCATAGTTCTCAGCACTTCTGATTCCCAAAGTGCCCATCCGATACAAAGGTCTTTCACCTAAACATTTCTTTTTGCATTAATGCTGAAGGCAATACTTGAATTTTAGGCTCTGTGTTTCCAAAAGTTCAGTTTCCCAAATCAGGTTAAACTGTTTAGCACACTCTCAGAATAAATTCACCCCACAGGGAACCAATTGGCTTGTTAAGCTGATCAGCATGTGCTAATTTCTGTGCAAGCAACAAATGGCTGACTTGATGTTTTGGACCCCTGTTAATGCATTGTATTTACGAAATAACAGGAAAGCACTGTTATTGTCTAGGTGCACTGCATAATCTGTACATTCTATGAGCATGGCTAACAGCTACACTCAAGCTAGTAAAAGAAGGAATGCAATTAATAAGGCAGTAACATTGATCCTGAATTTGCAGTCCAACAACACAAGGGAAAAAAAAATCTAAAATAAATAATCAAAACGCAATGTTTTTGCATTTTTTTTAAATTAAGTTTCATTTTTAAAATAAAATAAACAAAGTGTAGTTACAAAAAAAAGACATTGTAGTATAATATATTAAACTGTGAAAAAAGGAAACAAAAAAGTCTTCACAATCTTTAGATTAATACGGAAGATCATAATTTAACATAAAAGAAAATATATTCTATTGTTTCATTATCCCGATAAATATAAACAAAAATTAACAAAAAAATGCATATGATCGGCAATAAATACGTTTTTTGATAAGTTAAATAAGCAGTGACAAGCAAAAACTCCCACTTGAAAGTTTTTTCCAAACAAAACAATAATAATAATAATAATAAAAAAAACAGAAGGCTAAGAGTAAAAGGTGGGAAAAAAAGTGCTCTACAAACTGTAACCTAAGTTAGAGCAAATCCATAAAGCTATCTTATTCCTAAGAGTGGGACTTCTGGATCCAGTTCTGGAATGCGAAACAGGCCCACAGGCTTAGAACAAAAATCAACCCGAGGAAATGGAAGGGGAAGTGGTCAAAGAGAATAGTCAGAACTTAAGATAACCAGAGCTTGTAAAGAAACGTCTTCTAGTCCCACCAAATTAATGACCAGCAATGTAGGAAACTGCTAAAAGCTTTTAAGAGTTCCTCCTGATGTTCTTGGGGCTGTTGTGGTGACAGAAGAGGGGAACTGAGCCTATAGCACCAAATACAAACTTCTCTTCCTGGCTGACTCCCAACAAATCCTGTTGCTTAGTCTCAAGTCCTTCCTGCTACCTCCCCTCACCCAACACTTTTGTAAGACGGTGCTGAATGTTTTCTTTAAAAAAAAAACAAAACAAAAGCAAAACTAGTCCACTTGCCCAAGCTTGTACAGAAGTGTCCCCCCACCCCCTCAGGATTTTTCATTTGTTCGTTTTTTTTTTTAAAGAGGGGGCCACCATTTATTTTTTTTAACACCCTCCCACTGGCCCACGGAGCTGTAAGAAAACAGTGGTAATGGATGGCAGAAAATAGCCAGTAGAGGGCGTGAGGCTACTTGCACAAAGGCTCCATCTGCATTGCTACACATGTCAGGAGGAAAAGAAAAGGCAGATGGTTCCTAGTGTGAATCACAGTCCGAAAAGTAAAAAAAAGGCACTTTGTAAACTGCTGGCTCTTAAAATTCATCTGGCAGAGCTTTTTTTGGCACTATTACACTGTAGAGGAGGTAAAAGGGGATTAACAATTTGCTTTTGTTGTCCATAGGAATTGAATTTCCCTTAATTCAAAGAGTGTCCAGCTAATATAAGGTCTGGAATCAAACGCCATTTGTGTTGGATTTCAGAAAGGGGTTGTCACTGATTGAACATCGTCATTGGCTCTCACCTCCTCAGGAACACAAAGCCTTGGGAATAGTGCGGCACTCTCAGTCACCATTCGAGAGAGAAACACGTGCAAGTGGACTCCTCAGCTTGACGTTCTTTTCCAAAAACCCCAAAACTGTCCCAAGAGAAGCATTCGTTTCTCAATTCACAAACTGGACGAGAGAGGGGGCAAGGGGAGGTGGGGGGCAGCAGAGGGGGGAGTGCCACTTGTCTCGGCTTTCAGATTTCGCTTAGTCGTCTGAGATTGAGAGTCTGCTGAAGATGGGGAGGCGACGGGTGGTGTCCAGGACCGGAGACTCCGACCCGCTTAAGCTCCCTGAGCTGCTCTGGTATCCCTCCTGGTCAGAGAGGGAGTCTTGGGGGCTGGGGGGTGACTCAAACAACTGGGGCGACTCGGACATCGCCCTGAAGAAGAAGGTCGTGGGCGAGGGGGGCGCTGGGGCCGACGGGTCGGCCTGGGAGCCCAGGCTGGGCCCGAAGAGGCTGGCTAGCTCCTGGCTGGAGTAGGTGAAGGGGTTGCTGGGCCAGTCCTGGAGGTCGTCTGCGTGGAAGATGGGCGGAGGCGTGACGGAGGTGGGGCTGTCCTGCAGCCCATTGTTGCTGGGGAACCCGGCAAAACTGAAGCTGTGCTGGAGCCGGGGCCTGTCCAGCTTGTTGGAGGCCGACAGAGGGGGCGGCCCCCGGCGCTCCTCCGCGTTGTGGATGAAGTGGCAGCGCGGGCCGTAGGGGCAGAACCCGATGGTGTGGAAGGTGCGGCACAGTTCCGTCTTGTACTTGGGGTGGCGGCTCAGGCTGCGCAGCTCGTGGATGCCGTGAGCAAACTGGCACTTGTCGCCGTACTTGCACACCCCGTTCTCCTCGAAGGGCCGGCACAACTCCGTCTTGTAGCGGCTGGAGTTGACCTGCCCGCTGCCGTTGCCCCCGGCCGACTTCGGCAGCAGCCGGTCCCCGGTCTCCGAGTAGGACCGGTCCCGGAAGCGGTTCTCTTTGTTACTGCTGCCCCCGGTGGATGACGGCTCCACCTTGAGGCTGTTGTTGATGAACTGGTTCTGGTTGAACTTGGAGTTGGGCAGAGTGACTGAGTGTCGCCGCTGGTACACACCCACCGAGGAAGAAGGGGTCCCCACTGCCTTCCTGTCCAGCAGGGGCCCACTGGGGGTGCTGATGGGGGGACTGGGACCAGTGCAGGGAACAGAAGAGGGATGGGGGGCAGTGAGGATGTTGTTGTTGTAGTTCATCATCTTGTTGTTCTGGAACAGAAACAACCCAGAAGGAAACAAGAGTCAGCAAACACATCTGGCTTCGCATGAGCATGAATCCAATGGAATATGCCAAAACTCGGGGAGATCTAGAACTGGAATCCCAGAAACTAAAAAGACACTTCCCACTGTCTCCCAGTCTCGCTTGGGCAATCCAGCTGTATTATTTTTAAGACTTCAGTCCTCATACAGCTGCTGGGTTTGTAATAAGTCTGTAGACTGATCTAATCACTTCCTGTTAACCAAGACGTGCAGAGTCTGAAGACTGACACTGTCTGCTGGGAGTTGTACAACAGAAGCCAGCCAGTTCAACGAGGCAGTGTTTAATACGTTTGGGTATATGACAACACAAACACTATTACAAGAGCCATGTTTTGGGTGTCAGGATTTACGTACAATTTTAAATCACTTCTTTTCTTCTAAATCACTTTTTCAAAAAAAAAAGGCTATTTCTAGTCTTAAGCACTACCTCATTCCATTCACAGTGGCTATGATTCACTAACTTAATACACATGCTTTCGCATGATACATTGTTTTGCCTCCAAAAATGCTCATTCGGAAACGAAGGAGTTCAAAGCAGGTTTTTTTATCTGCGACTACTATTAAGCAGACATTTGAAGCGTCTTAAATTATCTGTAAACAAATTAAAACCCGCTGAAACCTTAAAAATAAAGGTCCGTTTACATTAGTATGTTTTTACTATGTAAAAGTCCAACATTTTTATCCTTAACGTATGGATATTGTTAAGGATATTCAATTCAGCAATCCGCCTAGCAACTAATCAAACATGAAAGTTTTTTAGGACACGTGAAAAAAAACGTGTCACATAGCCGAAATGAATTACAAAAACTGCAATTTTGCATTCTGAAATAATATACTGTGTGTATGTAACCGTGCAAAATGAATCCTTCAAATTCCACGCCGTGTTTTCCACGCAGCCAGTAGTGAAAGATTCCATTACACATCCTGTAAAACTTGTAAATCACCAACACCGAGTTTAGACTCTCGGGGCGTGCAATAAATTAACACGCAACCAAAGTAACGAAACGATCGTTCAAGATTACGCTTTGCAAACTGCCCCCCTCCCAGCAAACACACACACTCGAAAAAAAAAAGGAAAGCATGTGCGCGCATTTAGAAAAAAATAGACACAGGCGATCATTCCTCCACAAACGTGAGGTTGCGAGAGGAGGAACTGCACGAGCGAGACTGGCCAACGCGCCGAAGAAGCCTGAGCACTTCCTGTGTGATGCGTTGATTCACGCTCTGCGGGTGCACATGTGTCAGTGTGCAGTAGTGGCTCCCACAGCAGAAAACAAACGATACTCGATTTTCCGATTACATATTCCACGATGCAAGTAAACAAACAAAAACGCCGTCCACTTACGCGCACGCACATACTCCAGGTGTGAGGGGGTTAACTGAACGATCCCCTTTATGATCACTAACGTTTAATGAAATTAAGGCGGTTTGTTGGTCACCCACTAGTACGACCAATGTCAGCTCTTTGCCCAACAAGTCTAATTTAATTGGAAGTAGGAATATAGTGTGTTTGAGGTGCACCTGTAAAAATGGTAAGATTTCAAATACCTAGTAGATTTTGATCTGAAAATGTAATGCATCTGTCTTTTTGCGAAAGTGCATAGCACGTTCGTTTAAACCCAACAATTCATTCGATTATCATCTCTACAAAATCTTTTATGTGGTAAACCACAAAAGCGATTCAAATAACCTACTTACAAGACACTAGCTTTCGGTATTAAATTTGTTTAGAAAATAGATTTATTTTTATAAAATAGGAAATATCTCGTTTAATGTATAAGGGGCTGAATAAAATTAAACGAATGCGTGCAAATCAACCGCCAATTGAGCGTTTCAAACCTATACTAGTGCGTTTCTGACAAGACTTATATTGTCCTCCGATTTTTCAAGAAGTGTCATGTAAAACGGTTACGACTTGCAAATCATTAGCGCAGAACACGCGGTTTTTAAAAATCTGCGTTCACTAAAATATTTACATTGATTTCTTACAACCACGTCACATTTTATTATTAATCCTAGAAAACATACTTCCACTTATTTAAAATTTAAACACTCGGTGCAGATTAAATCGATAACTCCTCTTCAGCAAATACTTGGTATATAACTAGTAAACACCGCTCCGAAGTTTGAACAAATTTATATGAAAATTAGAAAGTAGCAAACAGACTCGACCTTCTCAGGAGCACATCAAAACAAGACTTTTAAAAAAAAGTTTAAATCGACAATTGCATACAGAAGCACAAAAAAAAACTTTTCAGATCTTTACCTTGTTTAATACTTCGCTGAAGTCAAAGAAAGGCGATACCACAGCGGTGGTCATCTTCGATGCGAAAAAGTGTAAAAATAATAAAAATGTTATAAATCACAGTTTTAATGGGCGACGATTTCAAGCTTTGTTGTGTTATATTTTCACTTCCCAACTATCAGAGCCCCCTCTGTCCTGAGAAACAGCTCCAGATTACTTATGTGCAAGTTTTGCCTAAGGAGGAGCTAGTGTTTGATTGGCGTGCAATAAAAAACTTTTTTCTTTCGCCGCGGTCCGGAATGGTGGGAGGGATTGGCGGTGTGGACTTGTTCTGAGGCTGGTGTGTGGAAAGTTTCGAGATCCGAATTTTTATTTTTTTTAATTTAAAGAAACTTCAACTTGAATTCTTACTCTGTATTTGTCGTTTAAAAATCGAAAACTTAAAAATCATTTCAGTAAAAATGTTCATGGTCTGTGTTTTTTTGTAACTTTAGCAAGACGATCGCCATTTCCTTAAACGTTTTTATGTTTGCGCGAAAGCATGCTATGTCCGAATTTACATAGTTAAAGAGTCCTACTATAGGTCTAATTTTATTTTGATTTAGTATGTGGAGTGTGGGAACCTTTATAAAATACCAGTTCAAGAAGGTATACTTTTTGTGTGTCGTCGGCTGGGCGTTATTTGCAGTTAATGAAGAAATTTAGTCTGTTATGTTCAAGTCGAGTTAATGCAAATTTGCGGTAAGCTGTTTGATTGTGTTCAGTTATTTTTAATATGGAAATGTCAACATTGGCCGTGGTCTGTCAGGTGTTGCGTACACAAAACAGACTGTGGCAGCCTTTTGGGAGTTAGGAGTTGTAGTTGTGCAGGTATATGCAGGAGTACGGTTTTTTGCAGGCTAGAGCAGCTGGAAGTTGAAAATAGTTATAGTAACCATTCTATCTCTAGATTTAACTTGGAATAAATACAGTTGTCCCTCAAATCGATTACAAATCAATTCGCCCTCTTCCGATAAGTCAATAAAGGGGATAGGCACCCCTGCGGTATCTGTTGTGCAAAACTTGAGGTTCACCCCAACCCCGGACTTTAATCTTAGAAATTCACTTCCTTGTTAATAATGGTGTTATTGGAGTAGTTTTCCTTGGGTTAAACGAAAAGTGGAACTACTGTATGAAAAAGCAAGATCAGAAAAGCTTAAAGGCGGACATTACAAATTCGCGCGAATTGGCTGATTTACATACATTTCTTTTCGGAATGAATTTATGTTGCAGCCTTCTTCGGAAACATTAGTTTTGGTGCCTTCAAATGGGTACAGTATATTGAAGTGAAGGGGGTTTAAATAAGGGAGCTGCCAAGTAGCGTGCTTTGGCTCTTGAAGACATCGTAATAGACACAAATCGACACTCAGATAAAACTGTTGTACCTCCATACGTAATCACGTATACTGTTGCTAATAAAAAAAATGAAGAAATAAGATTTCTTTTCTCGACGCAGCACGGTGCAGTTTGGGACTGCTGCGTCCATGTCTGGAGAGCTAGTGAAGCCAATGACAAATTCTGAACAGTCCTTCTGTAACTCGGCAAATAAATACGTGCATTTGCCATGTGTTGTACGAAAACTCCACATACACCAGTGTGCAATTGAGTCTAACATTTACTCGGATGGTCTCCCTGTATAAAGTTTTAAAACGGACAGCTAATCACGCTTAGCATTTCCAGCACAAAGTAAACGCGTTTTTTCTCTTCCGGGTACTGACACGATAGAAATTCAACACTCTAAACAGCTTTGGTCTCCTGAACTAAAGAATAAAGTTAGTTTTCCTTAAAATGCGCCAAGGTTGTTGACTCGTAACTGTAGTGCAACTCGTAGCTCCTCAAGGGTTCCCAGCTATATGATCCAGTCTATAATTAAATCGCTTTTAATTGTCAGGCTAAAAACGTCATTTCTGGGACTTTCCATCGGGTTAACGGGTTCAGATGGGGGGGGAGATTAACCCTTTCCTAACAGAGCCGAGAGCGCTACGATATAACGTGTGGGTCCGTCGTAACTAAAACCAACATCTGTTAACTATTTAATTGCCGCTTACTGTCAGCACACAATTTAACCCTTGACTAGGCAAAGCGATGAAGTGTGTATGTGTTGGGTTCTCCAGCTCGAGTCTCGTTTTGTTACTGTTTCCCATGTTAAAGGCACAAAATATATCACTTTACAGATTAGACCGTTAAAACCACATTTTTTGCTACCGCTAAAAACTTTAATTTTACCATGAAAACGCACGTTGAATTTAGCATAATATTTGTTTCTAGTCCCTCAAGCTAAATCGAAACTTCTTCCCAAAACGTATTTCTGATGGTAGGATTTCGGAATAGTTGCTGCTGTGGTTAGTTACGTGAATATAATTATAAACATGCCCGCAGTGTAGGTGTGCTACGTGAAGACTTATTGCTAGAAAGTAGACAGCTACATTTTTTGTGAACGATTGATGAACCAACTAGCTTTAAAACGCAATAATCGCCTGTTTGTTTCAGAAGGGACGAGTTTCTTTACTGCCAGTCCTCGGATTGTCTCGTAGTATTAACAGAGATGAAACTAGCTGTAAATTAGCACTAGCAGAAACCTCCAGCAAGCAGCGCCGACGGAGACAGATATGATGACGACTTCTCTGCAGACAAGACAGCGGGCCGCAGAGGGAGGAGACAGCGCTTCAAGAGGCGGTGGACGGCTGGAGCTAGCAAGCACTTTATGTCAGAGATAAAAGTTTGTGAAACAAGGAGGGACGTGCTGGGGCTTGGCGTGAGTAAGAAGCCTGTTGAAAGACAGAATCAGACCACAGATCAGAGCCTGAGGCTGAGAAAGGCATGCGCTGGTCTTGTCTGCGAAACTGGTAGAACAGAGGGTGACACAATCTGAAGCCAAAATACATTATGGGCACGCACTGCGTTGCATGTCTGGCCTTTTTGTATTTAAATTATTCATTGTATATATATATATGATATCAACACCACAATTGCTGTTTCAGGTGGCCTGCATTTGCAGATGTCAGACACGGAATGGACAGGGACATTGACATCGTATTCGGTTTGAATACGGTTTGAAGAGTTTCCCCTTCCCGTTGTATTAAAATAGGTCTCCTGTCTGAGCATGAGTGTCAAAAAAATTCAAAATCAAACAACCAAGCACTTAAATGTCTGCACCGTTTCATTGTGTTTCTTTACCTCTGTTGTGCCTGGTCATTTTAACAGGAGCTGTCCAAGACTGAGTACTGTAAGTTAATGGTCATACTGTAGGCCTAAGCAATGTGGTGGTTACATTTTTGTGTTTTTATTTTTAATAAATACATAACGGTTTGCTTGACGTTTTGGCCTGTTATTTTTAATTATAAATAATAAACAACAGCAGCACGAATGGGGCTCTAGCATATCTGTAGGCATAGTAAATTGCTCACCTCTTAAATAAGGCAATAACTTTAATCTTGAAAGAAGTCAACTATCTGATACAGTAAGTAAACATCAGCTGTTTTTTAATGAATGTAAGAGCCATTTTTACTACCCCATGCCCGTTTCATGTGGTATGAGCCATAAACAAAGATTTAATACAGTGACCTTTTCCTTAAAGATAAAGGGGATAGGCACCGCTATGGTAACTGTTGTGCAAAACTTGAGGTTCACCCTAACCTCGGACTTTAACCCTAGAAACGCACTTCCTTGTTGACAAAGAGGGTATATCTCGGAGTAGGTTTCCCTGGGTTAAATGAAAGGTGGAACTATGAAAAAGCAAGACCAGAGAAGCTTAAAGGGGGAGATTAAAAATTCACACTAATTGGCTGATTTCCATAAATGTCTTTTCACAATGCGTTTATGGTGCAGCTGTCTTCGGAAACACAGATGGATTAGTTTTGGTGCCTTCAGATGGGTATATTGAAATGAACTCATGGCCATGTTTATAATTGGCAGCAGTTCTCTTCTGATCTCTGATACTTGCACCTTTCAGGAGAGTGTGATTTGATGATCATGTATGAGTGACCTCATACACTGATGCAATTTGGTCTTTCTGGATTCAAAACATTTTGTTTTAGCGTTCTTCCTTGTTACATCAAAGAGATTGGTCTTTCATTTCAGAGTATGTATGTGATCTGTGCACTCTGAAGCCTATGGTTGTTACTGTAGCCTTCATCACACAGGGCTCTTCTTCATTCTCTAGATTCCTTCAGAGATATGGAAGTATAGTTGTCTTTATTGCTGCAAATGTCTGTCTAATTTTATTTTCATAGCATTGTAGTTTGAGGGTGTATACTCAAATAGGTATAAATCAGATTTTCATTTTTACTCACAAAATATAAAAGTGTGATATAGTTTGAATATTCAATAATGTTATAGTTTCAAGGTGAGGTCTGCCTAATTTCTCGATTCATCTGAGAGTAATGTTATAAACTACTTTAATGGTACTAAAATAGCTGAAGCACCAATTCTAGTTTTTGCACACTCTTGGTAAAGAATTTAAGACTCTCAGAATGCAGAATAAATGAAAACCAAGAAAAACATGAAATCGTCTTTCCACAATTTATCCTATCGAGCACCCCACAAATGTGTAAATCTAGCCTGAAACATGAACACAGTTTAAAACCAGGCATTCATTTCCTTACAAAAATTAGTCTTTTAAGATGTGTAACCATTAAGTTTTTCATGTTTTTATTTTGTGATGTGTTTATGTGTCACTAATATTATAGGCGGTCAAACAACATGCCTGTATTTCTGAGGAGATATTCCACTGTGATCTTTATTGTGTATGTAAAATAAACAGAAATGCCTCCAGTATTCATAGGTCAATCAGGAGAGAGTTAATCAATTCTGTGATCATAAAGGTGAGTTAAAAACTATCTTTTAGTACAGGGTCACAGGGGAGCCAGAGCCTATTCAGCAAGATAAGGGCGCAAGAAGGATACACCTTAGACAGGATGCAAGCCCATTTCAGGGCACAGAATGACACACAGTCACACCAGGGCCAGTTTTCCCAGAAGCCAATTAACCTATCAGAATCTTTGGACTGTGGGAGGAAACTGGTGCACCTAAAGAAAACCCACACAAATACCAGGAGAACATACAAACTCCATACAGAAAGCACCCCAAGAAAGGTCCCAGCACTGAGGCAGCAATGGTAACCACAATGCCACTGTACCACCTGGGTTAAAACGTATTTGAAAAGACAAAAAAAAATTTCAAC